AAGAATCAGGTGATTGAAATTTGGGTGTCATATTCATACAAGTATTACACATATGTCCTATATACAAATTTCAAAAGATGCTAGGTCCCAGGCTTTATTTTTTCTCATTGCTATTACTTATGTTCAGAACCACCATGTCTATATTGGAAAATTCTATTTCTATATTACATGACAAGTCTGAAACTAGATTCAAAGCAGTCATAGTTTAACTTGGAAGTGGACAGTTCTGGTGTTCTCTTCTATTCCTTAACACTGGCTTATTTCCTCCAAAAGTAGCGTGATCACAATCCATATTTCAGTAGATAGTTATATAAAGTTATTACTGTATTTCAAGAAAATTAGGGCATCACTTTTTGCCTTTCTGTCTTTAAACCTGAATAATTGACTATCTGCTACATTCTCAGTCATACATGTGAAGGGGTAGAAGGGTGGAGGGAATAGGGAAAAATTGGAAAACTCACAAAACATTTTTTTTTCATAATCTCTTGGGGAGTTTTCTGGGGAAAAAATGGAAAACAGAAGTTTTTCTATCTTATTTTTCTCTTTTTTCCCCAGACATTCAAATTTTTGAATACATTAAAGATGATACTTCAATGTGCAAATGAAGTCAAACATAGTGCATTTTAATGTTTCTAAGCTGACATAATGGCTAGATTTGTAAGGAATATTAGGCAAAGTAAGTATTTATTATTTTTCACTTACCCTCCCCACCCAATTTCCTTTTTTGCCTGAAAGAAAATCTCCTTCTTCCTCATGGATTCCAAATTTTTCAAGAATTTGTACCTCATGATGAATGCTAGTAGAATGTGTTTCCAATAATCTACATTTCCAGAACATAGGAATCCCTACTTTAAAATTGAACAGAATCAGATGGAGGTCAGTCTCTGATTTTACCCATCCATTAATTTATTTGATCTCTTTAGAAGAAAGACACTTTTTAAAATTACCTCAAATTGACTGTTCTACTATGCATCCTGTAGTTTAGAGTTCCGTTCACACAGTGCTACTCTTCAGCATGATCTTTAATGAAACACCTAGGAACACAGGATTTTAGAATTTGAAGAGACCTTAAGAGATCAACTAGGATAGTCCAAAGTACGCATTTTGCTGATGGAAAATTGAGGCCCCAAAGACCGAAGTCACCGAATAACGATCAGATTTTGGGTTTTAGAAGTAGAAGGGATCATAGAGCTAAACCTGGAAGGAGCCTTTGAAACCAACCAGTCCAACTTCCTCATTTTGTAGAGAGGTTGAGTGACTTTTCCAAGGTCACATAGGTAGTAAGTAAAAGAATTGGGATTCTTCATCAGGTTCTGTGACTCCAAGTTCATTGTTCTTTCTATTCTAGTCAATTGTTCTCACTTTACACGTAAAGAAACTGGAATTCAGAAGGCAAAGTTATTTGTTCAAGTTCATACAGCTAGTAAGTAGCAGAGCTAGGATTCTAATCCAGATCCTCTTACTTAAAATTCAATGTTCTTTTTTTAAGGATATTTTTAATTAATTTATTTTGATTTATCAACAATCACTTCCATATGCTTTTGAGTTTAAAATTTTTCTCCCCCTTCCTCCCTACTTCCTCCCCCTTCCACCCTCCACAAGACGGCATACAATCTGATTTGGCTATACATATACATTCCTATTGAACATATTTTCACATTAGTGATGTTGTAAGTAAGAATTAGAACCCGTAGGAGGAACCACCAGAAAGAGGAAACAAAATTCAACAGACGAAAAAAAAATAGCAAATAGTTTGCTTCAATCTGCATTCAAACTCCATAGTTCTTTCTTTGGATGTGGATAGCATTTTCCATCATGAGGCCTTTGGAGATGTCTTAGATCCTTGTATTGCTGGGAAGGGTTAAGTTTATCAATATTAGTCATCGCGCAACATGGCTGTTATTCTGTACAACTTTCTTTTGGTTCTGCTCACTTCACTCAGCATCAGATCATACAAGTCTTTCCAGGTTTTTCTGAAATCAGCGTGTTCATCATTTCTTATGGCACATCATTTCTTATTTCTTATAGTATTCCATTACATTCATATACCACAACTTGTCCAGCCATTCCCCAACTGATGGGCATCCTCTCAATTTCCAATTCTTTGTCACCACAAAAAGAGCTGCTATAAATATCCTTGTACCTGTGAGTCCTTTTTCCATTTTTATGATCTCTTTGGGATATAACACTAGAAGTGCTATTGCTGGGTCAAAGGGTATGCACATTTTGATAACCTTTTGGGCATAGTTCCAAATTGCTCTCCAGAATGGTTGGATCATTTCACAATTTCACCAACAATTCATTAGTGTTCCAATTTTCCCACATCTTCTCCAACATTTTTCATTTTCTTGTTTTGTCACATTGACCAATCTGATAGGTGTGATGTGGTACCTCAGAGCTATTTTGATTTGCATTTCTCTAATCAATAATGCTTGAGAACATTTTTTCATATGACTATAGATGGCTTTAATTTCTTCTTCTGAGAACTGCCTGTTCATATCCTTTGACTATTTATCAATTGGGGAATGACTTGTATTCTTATAAATTTGACTTAATTCTCTATGTATTTTAGAAATGATAAAATGCAATGTTCTGTGCACTAATCCACAGCCTCTCTTAAAGAAATAGATTATACATGGACAATGTGGGAATTTTTTTGTTTGTTATGCATATTAGAATGGTTTTACTTTTTACTTTTTGCAATGGTCAGGAGGAAGTGGGAATAAAAGAAAATAGATTTTTGTTCATTGAAAAAATTAATTAAAAAATTTTAAATAGACCATAATATTATTTATAACATAGCTCATTACTGAGAGCTGGACAAGAAAGATGGGCAGGTAGGTGGCACAATGTATAAAGTGCCGGGTGTGGAGTCAGAAAGACCCAAGTTTAAAACCAGCCTCAGACAATTTACTAGCTGCATGACCCTGGGCAAGTCACTTAACCCTGTTAGCCTCAGTTTCTTCATCTGTAAAATGAACTGGAGAAGGAAATGGCAAATCAGTCCAGTATCTTTGCCAAGAAAACTCCAAATGGGGTCACAAAGAGTCAGACTCCAGTGAAATTACTGAATAGCATACAACAACAATAAGGACAAGAAAGATAAGAGAATGAGGTGATGATGGTATATAAGATAAACAAATGAGGAATCAGGTGCTGGAGAGAAAGAAAGAAGAATAATCCTGGTAGAGTTGTCGTGGTTTTAGAAGGGGTGTTGTATGAAAATGCCATTGACCTTGATCCCTCTGACCCTTTGGAAGAAATCTCCCATGACCTCCCTAATTATTGTCCCCACCATGGACAAGCATACTGCTCTCGCAGCAATCTATTTGAATCTTAAATCCTGTGGGCAAGCAATCTAACTCTCCCTTTGCAGTTAATAGAAATCACTTTATGAAAACTTAACTATATAGTGACGCCAATGCTAAAGAAAACTTGCAGGCATTTGGCTCCATACACATGACCCTAATTTCATGAAAAGCCTTTATTACTACTGATAACAGTAAAAGCCTTGAGAATGGGTAGGTAATAGAAACCAGATAGGGGGTTGATGACTACTCTGGGTAAAACATATGGGCCCCAGAACATGTTTTAAGTACAGAAGATAAATTAGAAGTGATTACCAGAATTCATGCTAAGCCTTGATTTTTTTCCCTTCTTTCAGTTTTAGTTAAGCCACATGTGTTTTTAGGTTAGCACCCAAATAACAAACATACCTTACAAAGACCCCAAGAGCATTAGGCATTTGCTCTGGAGATTTTTAGTCAGAAATGCAAATGTAGACTAGCGTGTGGTAAAGCTGTGCAAATGGTTTTGCAAAAAAATTATTTTGCACATGCTACATGTGCTAAATGGTCTTCTCCCTCAGTCAGGGTCACCGTACCATTTCTGCTTTCCTGGACTGAACACAGGACATATGTTTATAAATCACTAGGCTTTATGAGGTTGGAAAAATACTTCTCTCTAAACAGTAACTTACTGCTGATTAAAAAACACCCAAACCAGCCAAAAATAATCACAGTACTTTTACTTAACATCTGCTTTCTTTCCTCTCCCATTCTGCAAACTTATATAATCTGAGATCTCTACCACTAAGGTACTTCTTTGATGCTTCATCACCAGTTGCAGGTGACCCTGGGTTCTTGAAAGCTGTGCCAATAGAATATATGTCCCAGAGGTCCAATCAAGATGGAATAGCTCTGAGTATCAGTTCAGTGTCAAAGAACCAGCCTAGTAAAGTTTAGAAAGGTCCATTACCCAAGTGGTGGTAGAGTGATGGATAGTTTATTTGTTTGTTTTGATCATTATGCAGCCCACAACTCACAAAGACAATCCCTTAAAGTGGAGTGAGATCAGTATTTACAATGGTCGAAGGGCATATCTATTCTGATGATCCTTGAAACATTGGCTCTATTAAGATGGGAAAGATATAGGATCAGAGCTGGAAGGGACCTCAGAGGCCATCTAGCTTAATCCCTTCATTTTACAGATGAGGAAACTGAGGACCAGGTAGGCTAAGCCATTCACCCAAGGTCAAACAGGTAATAAGCATCAGAGACAGGATCTGAACTCAAATCCTCTGACTCCAGAGTTAGTACTCTGTCCCTGGTACCATGATGTTTCTTAGGATTAAAATTGTCACAAGTAAATTTTCATGGCTCTATCTTTATTACTTTTATAACACCTTATATGCCAACTTGATAATCCAACTAAATGCATTACTAATGTTATTACCACTACTATGAATAATACACATTACAAACAAGAAAAAGAAATATAGGAAACTAGACTCTTGAAAGTACAGATACCAAAGGCTAATAAGTTTAATTTCCCACTATATTATTGTGATTTCTCCCTCATTTGCCAAGTGCCAACCCCCTGGATTGGGTAGTTGGTCCTTTCTTGGATCTTAGGTCATTTTGCCTTCTCAGGAAAAAATTCACAGGAAGTGTTCCTTTTCCATCTTTGTTCTCTTTTTTTTTTCTTTCCCCTTTTCTTAGTTGCGGTCAAGCATGGAGCTCGATCAAGATATCTTCAATAATTGCCTCACCATTCAGCCTCTCCAACCTACCACTTCCCCACAAGATGTTGTAGATGGTACCATGGGAAGATCTCCAGGATCTGTCCACGACATCTATTCAGGTAAAAAAAAAATAGAGAGTGAAGGTGAAATGACATTAAACATCTATTTTTCATCTTTTGTTGTTAAAAAAAATGCTCACTCAAAAAAAAACCTGCTTCTTAAAAGCTATTCTATTTTGCATTTAACACATAGCTATAGATGGGCATATATGTGTTTTTCATGATTCCTGAAATAATTTTGGCAGCAGACTGTTTTTTATCATAAAGAAACAGAGTCAAGGAAAACATTTGTCCTACTAGGACTGGACTGGTTCCAATAGTTTTGTTCACCCATCCCTTTCAATCACCTTAAATTCATTAAACTTGATTTAGAACTCAGAAACAATGTTCGCCTTAAAGCAGGTTGCAGGCTGCTTGTGTGTTTCTTAATAGAACAACATAAAGCATGGTCTTCTTTGCATTTTAAAAGGAAGTCCTATTAAGCCATGTTCTCTAGGAAAATACAAATCAGCAAATTAGAGTGGATGCTTTTTCATTACTGTTTGTCACCATCCATAATGGTATCACTTCCAAGTCATCTTTCCCCTGGCTGGGTTTAAGAAATAGCTGACTTAGTGTCTGAATATTTCATGTATGTATTGAGAAATGAGAAAGGACCCCCTATCCAGGAGGAAAATTATTTTCATTCTAAAGACTCACTGATTTGGTGGCATCAATTAGGTGAAAGACACGCGTGGGTATGTTTTCAAACTTGACAGTTCTCCATCTGTTCATTCAAATGCCAAAAAAGTACATTAAGCAAATTGTTCTGTGAGGCCCCATCATCAAGAAATATATAGTAATAATAAATGTCAATTATATTGTGTGTTTAATGTTTGCAAAGCATTTCACATGCTTCATCTCACTGGAGCTTCATAGCCTTCTTTTGAGCTGGGTACTCTGCGTATTTCTCCTTCTGTTTTAGAGATGAGGAAACTGAGGCAGGCAGCAGTTAAATGACATGACCAAGGTCACCCAGATAACAAGTGTCTGAAATGGATTTGAACTGTGGTCTTCCTGTCTCCAGATCTAGTGCTCTATTGATTATGTCACTTGGATGCTGTTAGTTCAACCTATACTGAAATAAGAATTTCTTCTATAAAAACAACAGGATTGAAATCAGTGCCTGCCACACAGGAATGCTTGATAAAATGCCTGTTGATTGGTTTATTGAAAGATAAATGACTTGCCTATGGTCACACAGCTAATAAATGTCAGAATCACCTTGGATTTTAACCCAGATTTTCCAGACTCCTAAGTACAGCACTTTGTCCACTGGTGGTTGTCTTCTCTCATTTAAAGATCTTCAATTATGGCCATGGCACTGTACTAGAATCTTCAGAGATTTTTAGAGTTTAGAGATAATACAGTCTCTGCCCTCAGGGAGCTGATAATCTAGTGGAGGAGATACTTTTTAGACAGAGGGCTGGATTTGGAGTCACCTTTTTGACCTTAGGCAAATCACTTCCCCTTTGGGGACCTCATTTTCCTTCTCTAATGAAGTAATAAAATAAAATGGTTGGGTTATATTAGTTTCCTTTCAGCCTGAAAATCCTATAATTCCTGTGAGGTAAACGTGGGCCACAATGACCAAATATTATAGAGGCACAGCTACACATAAAAACACATTCAAATATTTAACTACTCATACCCACCTATAAACACATACATGTATATATGTATCACACAATCTTGTGTATGACATTAACAGTAAAAGATTGTGGTTGAATTCTCTCTAGGTTAACAGACCCATTTCCCTCATTTAATGTATTTTTGACTTTCACAAATTCATTTTCTTACTTTTATTCTTTCTCAAAAATTTGTTAAATAAATCTTTTGTAATAGACTAGGCTCAATGCTGCGTTTATTTATTAATCATTGTGGCTCTATTTACCTGTTGTTTCCAAGCTATTTTCAGGATATATCATTTACTATAAACTTAGTAAAACATCGAGGACATAGCAGGGGAAGATAAGCAAACTGATCATGAATTTAGAGCTAGAGGGAAGATAAAGATTGTGTATTTCAATCCTCTGGTTTTATAAAGGAGGAAACTGGCCCCAAGAGGTTCAATGATTTGCCTGGGGTCACAGAGTCAAAATTTGGATATTAGAAACATAATCCTTTCCCCTCAGAGGTCAGAAAGTAAAAGCAACACAAGTGCAAAAAAAATTAATAAATAAAATACTACAAACAAATTCATTTTCATGTAAGAAAGAGAGAAAAGGGGAAGGTGAATGGAGAAAGGTGAACAATTTAAGTAAATTGAAAAGGAATCAGAATTTGTTCCCTTTACAGTCCCAATGACATATAAATAAAGGCTTAGGAAAAAATAAACCTCTCAGATGGACTCATGCCCTTGGAGGTGCAAGACCAGATCCTCTGTAATAGGACATTAGACACTAATGTTAATCAGGAGAGGGCAAAACATTTGGGAATTTCAAGTGTGAAGAAGGTGAAATCTCTGAAATGGAAACTTTTAAAACCAGCAGAAGGTCTTTTACAGGACGTAGCTAAAGCTCTGAAATGGAAACTTGCAGTGCCAGTAAAGAGTGGTTTGCAAAATTTTAAGGGAGCCATAGTTTGCATAACATTAAGACAAACGGGAAGGCTGCCACTCAGATACGGAATCATTTTGTAAGTTTCCTGAAGTGCTGAAAACAACAGGTGAAGAAGGTGGATACACACATCACCAAATTTTGCCGGTTGATGAGATGGACCATCACTGCAAAGGTGTGCCCCACAAGACATTTATTTAATGCAGAAAATATGATTGCACCTGGGTTCACTGCAGTCAAATATTACTTAATGTGTCTTCTTGGAGGCATAGTTAAAGATGATTTCAAACTGAAGCTTTTCTCTTAAATTATTCTGAAAAATCCCAGCTCTGTAAAGGGCTACTCCATAGTGGAATCTACTAGCAATCTGGTGGAAGTGGAAAGGATGGATTGCAAGAATGGGTCACTCACTGTTATTGGTGCTGCTGATCTACAGTTTTGGGCCATTGACTGTAAAGCATTACCTATTTTCCCAGTAATGTCCTAGGCCAGTCACTAAAAATTAATGGAAGAGATAAACCTGCAGTTGGCAGCTAGGTGGCACAGTGAATAGAGCACTTGCCTGGAGTCAAGACTTGTCTCCCTGAGATCAAATCTATCCCCAGAACACTTATTAGCTGTGTGACTCTGGGCAAGTCACTTAACTTTGTTTACCTCAGTTCCTCATCTGTAAAATGGGCTGGAGAAGGATGTGGCAAACCACTTTAGTGTCTTTGCTAAGAAAATCCCAAATGGGATCAGGAAGAATTGGTCATGACTAAAAACAACTGAACAACAGCAAAAACCTTCAGTTAAAGGAGGTATGGTAGGTCTAGAATATCATGGGTGCCCTGGACAGCTGCTCAATCATGGAAGTCACTTTCTTCTTAATGCATCCAGGAGAGAGGGAAATAGGTCAAGGAGTGTTTACAGTGAATGACTGCTTTCCAGGTGATATACTATGCTAGAAATCGAACAAAGCAGAGTAACCCTTGCAAATAATAAACTCACTGTTATATAGTGCTTTAAAGATAGCTTACAAAGTGCATTTCTCACAAGTCTATGAGACATAAGTAAGACAAATAATATCATTCCTGTTCTATTGATGAGGAGGCTGAATCCCAGAAAAATTAGGTGATTTGTCCAAGGTTACACAGTCAGCACCATAGTTAAGGACTTGAAACCAGAAATTCTCATGCTAAGACTAGTCCTTTTTGTGATGTAGTATAGGGGGGATGGGGCACATTTGTCAGACCTTGTTCTTGGCATCAGGAATACAAAGACAAAATGAAACAATCTCTTCTCTCAGGGACCTTACATTGTATTGGGGGAGATGATAAGGTACAGTAGAAAGAATGACAAATCTGAAAACAGAAAACCTGGGTTCAAATCCTCCATCTGTTTCTTACTACCAATGTAATCTTGGGCAAGTCACCTGACTTCCCTGGGCTTCATTTTCCTCATCTGTAAAATGAAGGGCATGGACTCAGTGGCGTCTGCGATCTTCTTCCAAATCTAAAGTTAGATTCTATGATTCTGTGGATGTATCTTAAATCTCTCAAAAATCTCAATGCATTTTTAAGCTTTTAAAGCTGAGACCAGGGAAGGCTTTATGTAGAAAGCAGTGCTTGCGTCAAGTTGAAGGAAGTAAGAGATTCTGTGATGGGCACAATAGGGGGAATTTAAATTGCAAGATCAATTTAACTGAGAGTAGTGGAAGGGGAATGACACAGAAGGAGGCAAGGAAGGGAAGCTGAGACCAAGTTGTGAAGGACTTTAAATGCCAGACCAGAATTTATATTTTATTCCAGAATCAATAAGAAGTCCATGGATTTTATTGACTAGAAAAGAGACATAGTCAGACTTGAGTTTAAGTCACCCCTTTTGTGACCTGGGCAATGAAGATGCCATAAAAGCTGATCTGGTTGAGTTGGTGAAGTCCCACAGAAGATCTATGAAGTGAAGAACTGAGATCCTTATGGGAAAGCCTCCAGAAGATCAGGGTAACAGAGGGTTCACCTGTGCCCCTTCCACTGATTAGAAAGCAATTTTGTCCCATTCTGAAGTGTGTTTGCAAATCCTGGTAAAATCTCTATCATGAACTTGGTCTTGGGTTTTGAAGTGGTATTAATGTTATGCCCAGTTATTATAGAGAAATGTCACCTACGTCCAAACCCACACCTGAAAAGCACTGATCACTTATCCAAAAAGGTGAGGTTTCTCTTTTCCCTTTTGTCATTGGAAATTATAATGTGCTTATATTATGCACAAATGATATCAGCTATATTTCAGCAAATGACTGATCCAATTTTTATGTATTTAATATTACAAGTAATTGTGATTTGGTCAGCGTGGGATATTTCAAATGTGGAGACTCTGCCATTGATACAGATTGTACCTCCATTTAGGACTTAGATTTTACCTGCATTTAGGACTGGTTAAGTTCTAGGGAGTTGACTAAAACAAGGAGGAGTGACTTGCCCA